GGCAGGCCGGTTTCCCCCCCCTGAGGGTCCCTTGTAAAAAAAACACTATGCCGTGTCATTTTTTGTTCTAACAAAGCACTTTTTCGCGAATCCCTTGCAAAAAACGAGACGAAGTGCACGCGCGCGCGTCGTCGCGCGCGCATGCCGCAATCCTTCAAAAACCTTCGGTGCCGGAAGGATTTCGCAATCGAGTTTCCCCCAAAAAAACATACAAAAACCCATGGTTTCGCAACACTCATTTGCTAAAAAAAGCTTCCGCGCGAGCTCTTGCGAAATCTTAAGAAAACCATGGGTATTTCAATATTTTCGCAAACTGCTATTAAACGGGCTTCGCGCGTGCATGTCGAAATCAGTCGAACGCCCTTGCGCGTGTGCCGTCGCGAGAATCTTCTGCAACAAATGGGACGAAGTGCAGACGCGCGCGTGGTCGCGCGCGTACGCCGAAATCTTTCAAAACCCATCGGTTTCGGAAGGATTTCGAAATCGCGCGTCGAAAAAACCCACGAAAACACAAGGTTTCGCAACACGGATTTTCAACAAAAGCGTGCGCGCGCGCTCTTGCGTCGTCGTCGTCGTCGTCGTCGCCGTCCTCCCTCCTCCCGCGTCGTCGTCGTCGTCGTCGTCGTCGCCTACGTCGTCCTCTGTCTTTCCTTGTGTTCGTCGTCGTCGTCCTCTTTTGGCGTCGTGGTCGTTTCCGTCGTCGTTGTCGCCGTGGTCGTCCTTCCTCCTCCTCCCTCGTCGTCGTCGTCGTCGTCCGTCGTCGGCGTCTCGTCGTCGTCCTTCCTATTTCGTCGCCGTCGTCGTTGTCGTCGTCGTTGTCGTTGTCGTCGTCCGGCGTCGTCGTTGGTCGTCGTCGTCGGCGTCGTTCGTCGTCGTCGTTGTCATCGTTCGTCTCGTCGGCGTCGTCGTCGTCTTTTATAATTCCGTGTAACGTTGTTCGGCGTGCATCGTCGTCGTCGCGCCGTCGTCCGTCGTCCGTCGGTCGTCGGCGTCGTTTACGTCGTCGTCGTCGTCGCGTCGTCGGCGTCGTCGTTGTCGTCGTCCTTCCCTCCTCCCTCGTCGTTGCCGTCGTCGGCGTCGCCGTCCTTCCTCCTTCTTCGTCGTTCGCGTCGTCGCCGTCCTCCCTCCTCCCTCGTTGTCGTCGTTGTCGCCGTTGTCGCCGTCGTCGTCCTCCCTCCTCCCTCGTCGTCGTCTTCGTCGGCGACGTCGTCGTCGTCTTCGTCGTCGTCGTCGGCGTCGGCGTCGTCGTCGTCTTAGTCGTCGTTGTCGGCGTCGTCGTCGTCGCCGCCGTCGTCGTCGTCGTCGTCGTCGTCGGCGTCGTTGACGTCGTCGTCGTCGTCGTCGTCGTCGGCGTCGTCGTTGTCGTCGTCGTCGGCGTCGTCATCGTCGTCGTCGTTGTCATCGTCGTCGTCGTCGGCGTCGTCGTCGTCGTCGTCGTCGTCGTCGGTGTCGTCGTCGTCGTCGTCGTCGTTGTCGGTGTCGTCGAAGTCGTTGGACACGTCGTCGGTGTCGTCGTAGTCGTTGTCGGCGGCGTCGTCGTCGTCGTTGTCGCTGTCGTCGTCGGCGTCGCTGTCGTTGGCAAGTGCCATTTGGTACCCACCGTCACGGTCATAAGACATTTTGCGAACCAAGTTGCGGGTGGGTGGGTGGGATGTTTGCGCGAGCAGTGGAGTGGTCAAGCGCGGTGCAGGGTAGTCAATTGCACCACATAGATGTCAGCTCACTTTTTGCCCCAATTGTATTGCCGAGCATTATACAAGTCATCTCAATGCGCGAAAAATCAGGATTTACACCCGGGAACGCGAGGCGAGATTTCGAGGGAGCACCGGCACAATTGGGGCCTGGCGGCCGCGGTTGTGCAGGGCGTGCGAGGCGGATCGGGAGTTTTCCTGCTTCAATCTATCGGCCCCAACCTGCTGGCCGAGGAAGGATAATACAAATGGAGATTGTGGGGGAGAATCGAAGAGCATCGAGACGGCATGAGCATGATTTCCCGGGGGTCCGCGCCGATTCTTGCATCGGCGATGGGCCCCCCTTGGGTGCACCTCCGCCGCGGCCTTTGGCGCACTCCCGGCGACAGGGTGTCCAGCGCCGATCCAAGAGCCACGCGCGGACCCCAGAGAGCGCTCATGTTTCTGCAGCTTTTGTCCCCCGAGGGTCCAGAGCGAAAAAACAAGAGGACGTGCACGTACATGAGCCCACCCTGGTCTCGGAAGTGCGCCTGGCGTCAGCGTTCATGTCGCGAGGTTGGCCTTGCGGACTGGAATGCCGTGTTCACGTACGTGGTTGGGCGCGTGCGTCTTCTGTGGGGTCCCCAGATCAGGAGAGACAAGAGTACCACTACCACCAGCGAGGGGGGTGGCCGCCCCCCCCCCTCGAGCTGGTGGCACCTTCTTCTGGGAACTCTCTGGAGAGGCATGCCCGGAAGGAGGTGCCACCAATTCGAACGGGTAGGACAGCCAACCTCCTAGCTGGTGGTTGAGGTACTTCAGATTCTGGTGATCAGAAGGGGGAGAGGTGAGGCTCTCGGGGTTGGCCCTTCCCCGAGCCTTCTGGGTGTTGGCCGACGAGACGTTCGGCGGCGGCGCTGCGCGGCGGCGGCTGCGGTCCCTCGCCGCGACGGCCGGCCTCGCCGAGTGCGAGTTGCCTTGCCTCGCATACACCGAGGCCGCCGCCCTCCTCCATTCCTCTTTCCTCCTCCTCCACCCTCCTCCCTCCCTCCCTCCTCCCTCCCTCCTCCCTCCTCCCCTCCCTCCTCCCTCCTCCCTCCTCCCTCCTCCCCTCCTCCTCCTCCTCCCTCCCTCCTCCTCCTCCTCCTCCTCCTCCCTCCTCCTCCTCTCCTCCTCCTCCCTCCTCCCTCCTCCCTCCTCCCTCCTCCCTCCTCCCTCCCCCTCCTCCCCTCTCCCTCCCCCTCCCTCCCCTCCTCCCTCCTCCCTCCTCCCTCCTCCCTCCTCCCCTCCCTCCTCCTCCTCCTCCTCCTCCTCCTCCTCCTCCTCCTCCTCTTCCTCCTCCTCGCTGAAAGCAGGTACTTTTGGATATGCGAAAGAGCGTGTTCTACCGCTGCTGGCGGAAAACGGGGGGGGGTCACTACCGGTTCGAACCCCCCCCCTCCTGAAAACGGGGGGGGGGGGTCACTACCGGTTCGAACCCCTCCCCCCCCCCAAGTCCATCATGAAAGGGGAGGGCACTACCGGTTCGAACCCCCCCCCCCCCCCCCCACCCTCTCGAAAACCGGGGGGGATCACTACCGGTTTGAACCCCCCTCCCCCCCCCCCCTCGAAAACCGAGGGGGTGCGGACAGTGGTGGGGACGGTGGTGGTGGGTACAGTGGTGAGGGGACAGCGGGACAGTGGTGGGGACAGTGGGACAGTGGTGGGGACGGTAGTGGTGGGTAATTACAGTGGTGAGGACAATGGTGGGAACAGTGGGGACAATGGGACAGTGGTGGGGACGGTGGTGGTGGGGACAGTGGTGTGGGGACAGTGGGAATTTGGTGGAAACAGTGGGACAGTGGAGGGTACAGTGGCGGTGGGGACAGTGGTGAAGGCGGTGGCGAGGACGGCGGTGGGACAATTGGACAGAGGTACAGTGGGGACAGTGGTGGGGACAGTGGTGGGAACAGTGGGACAGCTCAGTGGGACAGCGGAGGAGTCAGTGGGACAGTGGGGACAGTGGGGATAGTCGGGCAGTGGTTGGGGCCGTGGAGAAAGTGGGGAGAGTGGAACCGTGGTGGGAACAGTGGTGGGGACAGTGGGGACAGTGCGACAGTGGTGGGGGCACTGGTGGGGACAGTAGGGACGGTGGTGGAACCAGTGGGGACAGTGGTGGTGAGGACAGTGGTGCTGGGAACAACAGTGGGGGATGTGGTGCGGACGGTGGTAGGGACCGGGAGTCGTTTGCTGGCGGTGAGTGGGGGGGGGTTCGAACCGGTAGTGATCCCCCTCCGGTTTTCCAGGGGGGGGGGGTTCGAACCGGTAGTGACCCCCCCCGGTTTTCGAGGGGGAGGGGGGGGGGAGGGGTTAGGGGAGGGGGGGGTTTTGCCGGAGGAGGGGGGGGGGGAGGGGGAGGGTTCCAGCAGGGGGGGGATTTTCGGAGGGGGGGGGGGGACCCCCGGGTTCCCGAGGAAAAGGGGGGCAATTTTCCACAGTAAAGCGGCGGTGGATCACGCTCTCTCGGATATGCGGATCCCAAGCTACTTCAGGCGCCGTCCTTCTTCATCCGCAAGGGGGCGGGCGGGAGCCCAATCTAGTTTTCCAATGCCTTCCTCCTCCATGCGTCCACCCGCCTCTTGCGACCGACGAGTTGGGGGGGGGTGGCTGCTGTGGCATGGCCAATTTGTGGGGTCAGGAAGGGCTCTGCTCTGGCCTCCGGGCCGCTCCGCTGCTCTGGGCCGGGGATCCTGCTCGAAAAGCTGGGGCTCACCGTGGCCAGAGCAGTCTCTGCGTTCCTGATGATGGGCCTGTTTTCCATCACCGCCATAAGTTGGAGGGGGAGGGGGGTCCTCCTCCTCCTCCTCCTCCTCCTCCTCCTCCTCCTCCTCCTCCTCCTCCTCCTCCTCCTCCTCCTCCTTCCCCCCTCCAACTTATGGTCTGACGTTCCAGAAACCGCCGATGGTTCAAGGTTGAACGATCCCCGAGATATCATGAACCAACGCTGGGGTCGGCACGACACGAACCTGCCGTATCACCATGGCTGTATGAGGGGGGTGACGGACTCAGGGGGGAAGGCGCATGAGGCATGTGTTGATTTCCTGGCGGCAGAGTGGGTGACTGGGAAGGGGGGGGGTGTGGTGAGGGGGTTGGTCGCGTCGCGATTCGCGCCAGCGCTGTCTGGTAATGCTCAGGAACAGCTCATTCCCAGACGGCGCCGGCGCGAATCGTGACGTGACCACGGGAGGGGAAGGGAGGGGGCGGGGTCGGTTCCGGGCGTTATCGCGAATACATGAAAAACGTGTTCAACTGCCCGTCTACATCGCCGACAGAGCCCTGATAGCCCGCCCCGCCCAGGAACTTGCGGATTCGTCATCGAGGCCCTGTCGCCGATCTATGGGCGATGTGTGGCATACATCATGCCGATATTTCCCCGCCTGAGGTGGCCCCCTCTCTGAACGCCAGGGGGAGCGGGGCATGGATACAGCTTGTCGGCCCCACAGGCCAGCTCTTCATCCGTGCCGCCACTTTGTCAGGCGATCGCAAACATGGATTAAGGGGGCGTGGATTCGCGACGGGTCCTGTTCACGAGGCGGCACCGGCCGCATTTGGGGAGGGCACCTTCCCCGATCCATGGATTTGGCGACCGCGCGCCAAACCCACGGATCACTTATCCATGTTTGCGCGCCCCCGACTGTGGCCCCTCGTTGGGTTTGGACGTGGAAGCCTGGACCCTCACGAGGCCGACATGCTCGCGGCCTTCCCCGTGCTCGCCGAGCTGCGCGGGGCCCTGCCCGACGTGCAGGCCGCGCACGCCGTCCCCGCCGTCCCCTCCGAGGGGCGCCAGTTGCCGCCGTGCTTTTCAGAGGAGGGTCGGCTACGCGCGGAGGGGGGTAGGGTGAGGGGGGAAGACTCCTCAGAAGCACCCCTGCTCCTTAGAAGGCGCGGGCCTTGCCTGTAGATGCAATGCCGGCGCCTTCTAAGAAGCAGCCTCCTTCTAGGAAGCCTTCCCCCCTCCCCCTACCCCCTCTGCGCGCCGCCAAGGAGGGGAAGGTGTCATGGTCATCGCCAGCTCCATGATGTCTCCCCAGATTTCATGGCCCCTCTCCTTAGTTCAAGTGCTCATATTCATCGGGACACGATTTGCGACCCCCCCGCTAAGGAGCCCCCGACTTCCAGAGGAGGGGAAGGTACCAGCACCGCCACGGCAGCTTGGGAGGCAGAGCCACGACTGCGCTCCGACCTAACACGAGGACCAGTCCCGGTGCCGACGCGAGTCCCACAGTGCTGTACCCAACCCTTTCGAAACATGTGGCGGATTTCTAGGACCGCCCTCTACAAACAAACATGTTGAAATATTCGCAGTGTAAATGAGCCCGCAGAAGTATACAACATCAACGCTCAGGAATGGAGACATAGGGGTGAGGTCAGGAGCATGCGAAGGAGGGTGACTGGGGGGACATACGTGATCAGTGACAGCAACAGCGCCGCCCGACACACACACACACACGCGGGACCGGACAGCGCCATGCGCTGTGAAGCAAAACGGCACGTTGCGCAGAGCAAGGCGCGGGGCGCAGGAGCCCCCGAACGTGCGGACAGTTTCGCATTTCGCGGCCCCCAGGGAGCCGCGAGGTCTCAACGGGGGCCCCGTGTAACTCCACTCCGCGCGACCTCCCAGGAAACCACGAAAGTGGCGACACTTGCACATTTCGCAGCCCCCCAGGGAGCCGCGAGGTCTCAGCTGGATCCCCGTGTAACTCCACTCCGCGCCCCCGTGTAACTCCACTCCGCGCGACCTTCCAGGAGCCCGCGGAAATGGCGCCGCTTTCGCAGTTCGTAGCCCCCAGAGAGCCGCGAGGTCTCAACTGGGTACCCGTGCAACTCAATTCCGGGCGACCTTCCAGGAGCCCTCGAAAGTGGCGACAGTTGCACACTTCGCAGCTCCGTCAGGGAGCCGCGAGGTCTCAACTGGATCCCCGTGTAAATCCACTCCGCGCGAAATCCCATGAGCCCACGAAAGTGGCGGCAGGTTCACATTTCGTAGCCCCCCAGGCAGCCGCGAGGTCTCAACTGGATCCCGTGTAACTCCACTCCGCGCGACCTCGAAAGTGGCGACGGTTTTACACTTCTTAGCCCCCCAGGGAGCCGCGAGGTCTCCATTGGATCCCGTGTAACTCCACTCCGCGCGACCTCCCAGGAGCCCACGGAAGTGGCGTCGGTTTCGCAATTCGCAGCCCCCCAGGGAGCCGCGAGGTCTGCACTGGATCTCCGTGTAAATCCACTCCGCGCGACCTTCCAGGAGCCCACGAAAGTGGCGGCAGTTGCACACTTCGCAGCCCCGTCAGGGAGCCGCGAGGTCTCAATTGGATCCCCGTGTAAATCCATTCCGCTTGACCTCCCAGGAGTCTACGAAAGTGGCGCCGGTTTCATACTTCGCAGCCCCCCAGGGAGCCGCGAGGTCTCAACTGGGTCTCCGTACATCTCAACCCCGCGCGAAATCCCAGGAGCCCACGATAGTGGCGACAGTTTCACACAAGTCTTCCCTCCCAGGAATCCAAGAGGGAGAGGCAGGCGACGGAAGTGAGGAGATAGGACGCAGGAGAGAGGAGGAGGGGGAGAGGAGAAGGGAGGAGAAGACGCGACCACAGTGCTCCTTTCGAAGCGACAACCCAGCACGGGAGGGTAGGGAAGCATCGTCGGACGTCTGGGGGGTTGTCGCTGTCGGCGCCGTCGCCGCCGCCGCTGCCGTCTCCGAGGCGGGGGGTTAGTCCACAGCCACCTCATCTTACCGAAGAGCCCTACGAGGTACTTGCGCAGTGTAAAAACCTGGAGAGCAGGGCGCCCGACGGGCGTGAAAAGGCCCGGCGAAGCACCTTGGGAGGATCTGGAGAGGGCTTCCGAGGGTCGTTCTGAAGAGCTTCTGGGCACGCGTATTGGGAAACGTGTAGAAAAGGCCTGCCGGAACACGCTGCGGGACAGGTTCGGGCCGTTCGGGCGCCAGATCTGTCCGTGTCCACCGCAGGCGGAGCCTCCAGAGAGCGATCCTCGGACGTGGGCTGTGAACGAATCCCCGCCCCGCAGCGTCGTCGTGGTCGTCGTCGCCGCCGTGTGCCTCGTCCATGCCGAGCTGTCGTTGCCACTCGTGTGCATCTAAGGATCGAGGGCCTGGCGCCGCCCAACTCAAGAAGGTCCCTCGGGGTGAGGAGCTGGCCCCTGGGCAGAAGTTCGAGAGGTCCAGGGGCCCATGTCTTGGCAAGCGTCGAGCCGAGGAAGAGGAGATGAGGGGAGGGCTCCCAGGAAACGCCAGGAGGGCCCTGGCGATCCCACTGAGGTCGAGGAGGGCTGAGCGGCCCCAGGAGGATCGAGGAGGGTCGAGGATCGAGGAGGGTCGAGCATCGAGGAGGAGCATTGAGGATCGTGGAGGAGCACGGAGGATCGAGGAGGATCGAGGGTCGAGGAGGCACGAGGAGGATCGAGGAGGAGGAGGAGGAGGCGGAGGAGGAGGAGGAGAGGAGGAGGAGGAGGAGGAGGGAGGGAGGAGGAGGAGGAGGAGGAGGAGGAGGAGGAGGAGGAGGAGGAGGAGGATCGAGGGGGAGGACGACCGAGGAGAAGGGGAATCGAGACACATGGAGGGCCCCCCGCCGTAGGAGGGCCCGGCTGGCCGCGGGAGGCAGCGGGAGGGCCCACGGCGACCTCCCCACGCGGAGCCCCAGGAGTGCCCGCGGGGCCCTGGGGGGGCCCAGCCGGTCTCGCATCGGGGCTCAAGAGACGGGGGTCAATGCAACCGGGGGTCAGTCAGAGCGCCGCATTTTGCAGGATCCCGCGGAGCCACAGGTGCACTGACCCGGGCTAGGGTGCAGGATCCTGCAGGATCTTGCAGAATCTTGCAAAGCCAGACGGCCCGGGTCTGCATTGACCTGGGTCAGTAGATCCCCGGGTCTGAGTCGCAGGAAGTTTCGAGGTTGTCTCAGGAAGGCCACAGGAAGCTTCGAGGTTGTCTCTTGACTGGGCATCGCTCGGGCGTGTGGATTTTTGTCGGCGAGGACCATCGTGGAGCACGTGGGCGGAACAAAAACACGCACGAAGCCGAAACATGCACGAGGACTGGACGTCCCAGCGATGGCGAGAGGCAGTCCGAAGGCCCTGGGGCGCCCAGGCGGCCGCCTGGCGCCCCTGGGAATTCTGGGTGGGAGAGGTCGGGGGAACGAATCTGTGGTAATGTATCTGTGATTCTGGCCTCGGGAGCGCGAAGCACGCGGCCGCTGGGGGCTTGCGAGGGCGCTGCGAAGCTGTGGTGGTCTCTCCACGCTGGTGGGTTCCCCACAGCGGCGGGTCGCTGATGCTGTACTGGCTCCCGCGGGAGCAGCCCCGGAGGCCGGCCCCAGGACGCCCAGGGAGAGCCCACACATCAGGGGCAACGATAAGGGGGGGATAGGCATAGGGGGGATGCACCGACACGCCATCGCCCATTGATCGACGAGAGGGGCCCGAAAGCCCCAACCAGCCCAGGAAGGTACGAATTCGCTATTAGGGGCCTATCGCCGATCTATCGGTGATGTATCGCCTCTTCCAGGTCGATGCATCCCCCCTATGCCAGTCCCCCCCCATCGTTGCCCCCCAAAACATGAGCTGACGAGGAGGGCCCAGAAGGGGGGGGTCCAGGTGGCCCCCGAGGCCAAAGGGAGCCCAATCGGCATGCGAGCATGGGTCGTCTGCGCACCTCGGGCCTGTCGGAGTTGTCGCGCCGTGGTTCATGCGGTCACTCGGACCCGTGCGGACATGTGCGGTGCGCTGGCACCTTCAGATTGACTCATGCGAGCGCAAAGTTCGTTCGAGTGTGATGTTGGCTCGAACACAGGGTTTGCCTCGGGGAGCGCCAATAATCCCTAACAGGGCACAGGGGGTCCCGAGCAGAGCGGGGGGGGTCGCAAGAGGGATTATTATTCGGGGGCGGCCTGCAGGTCGTGGTCCCAAGACGCAGGTCTCCCTTGACGAGGGCTGGCCGCGCCCAGGCGAGGTGCAGCGCTTCCGTGGTGAGAGGGAGCAATGGTCTACTAAATGCCAAATATCGCCCCGGACCCCTCCCCGCCAATGCCTCTGGCTCCCCCCCGCCTCGTCCTCCGCCCCACCCCTCTGCTCCGTACACCCCCCGCCCGCGCGGGCGCCACCCGAAGCCCGCGGCGCGCGCGGTCTCCAGACACGCAGGCCGCTTCTCTGGCAGCGTGGGGACATCAGAAAGCGCATACGCGATGACTCGAAGCCCCCGGGCGGGGGCCGGTGGCGACCGCCGGAAGCCCGCGCGGACCTGCGGCAGCTCATCGCCGTGCCGCGTCTTGGTACCCGTGCGAGTCTGCAGCCTCTGGCCCAGGTCTGCATCCTCCTCGGCTCGAGGAGGGCCCTCCCTCGCTCGCCCGTGGGCCCTCAGGCTGGGCGTGCCGAGAGGAAGCGGCGGACGCCGTGGCGTGGGGGGTGGCGGGGGGGGCAGAGGCGTGGCCTCCGGGGCTGCGCGGAGGGACGGGGGGGCCTCCTGACAGAAGGCGCGGAGGGAGGCCATGCGGGCGCGAAGTTGGTCGCGCTTCGTGGTTCGTGGTCTGCTCCCCTCCCTCTTCGTCCTCCTCCCTCCTCCTCCTCCGCCTCCTCGCCCTGCTCGTCGTCTTCTTCTCCCCCCCCCTCGAGCGGCGCGAGGGCGCGGAGCTATTCGCGCTCCGCGCCGTGCGCAGCGCGAGGGCGAGGGGGGCTGCCCGGAGGGCAGGAAGCCTTTTCAGAGGCCTCGCGGTCCCGATAAGGCGGCCCCCGCTTCTT